AAAGTACATGTTCAGTTTCAACAAAAACGTCCTTTCAGAAAACACAAATTCGCGGCTGAATTCAGCAAGAGGCAATTCCGAAGCGTTTGGCATACCCAAAGGCCCACTCGAAATTGTCCAGCAGTGACCAAACCTTGGTATTGCACAGCTTCAAAAGTGCAGTTCCCCGGAAGTGGGCACCCAATGTTCCGAAAGGAACCCCTTGAATTACAAGGAAGGCCCTTGAACAAAGCTCAACATGGACCTGATTTTTTAACACTCCTGCATCATCGTGAGGCCCAAACCGGATTAGATGCATCTGACAACCGATCGAATTCTGCGCCCAACACTCCGATCCACTGAGAACAGCATGGATCGGAAAATCTATTTCGTTTCTGCGGATAAGATGCGTAGCTATGTGAATTTCCATAATAGCGAGGCTACCCTCATCACTACTTGCTGTGAGTTTTTTGAAGTATTCAATCCCTAAAACCCAACATTGCCACCGAGGGACCAGATAGCCTCTTACATCTGCACCGTTTGTGATTGCCTTATTTTGCAGGCAAGCACTGCGCAATGTGTACGAATCACGTCTTGCTGGCTACCTTGAATTTTGCATTACTCCTAAAAAGCGGGAACAGAGTAAGCAAGCATGGGGGAGGATAAGTTCGGAAAGAAAACGGCGCACCATCGGCAAAAACGGCATGAAATTGTTCCAGCTTTTACACATTCTAGCAGTTGCATCCAACGAGGTGCTTTGTGCATCTGCGCGAGGTACCCTTGCAAGTAGTCGACGCGAGCAGCGTCCTCAAATCAAAAACAGCAGCACGCCCACCAATGGTTCGCGCACACTCTAAGTCCAAGCGCCATGTAAAGCCATCATGAAGGTCTCCAAAAACATTTCCCGTAGCAGCAAGCTTCCAGCGTGCACACATGACAACATCAAATCTACATCCAGTCCTTGGACCATCGTGAATAACATAGATACTTCCCATGTTCCTATCCACTATCCCTAGATAATATCTCTAAATAACCCCCAGAGAGTATCCCCATTCAACACCATATAATATCCGTATCTAACCGCCATACAATATCGCTATATAACCCCAAAATAATGAACCCCATCAAATCCTATATACGCCCTAAACCCGAAATAGTGGTGCCCGTTTTCGTTTTTCATTATTCCGGTCTAACCCTGGGGCATGATCCAAGCATCTTTCACGGCGTCTGCTTCCGTGTTCTCTCGAACCGCACAGCCATTTTCTGTGACCTTGGGATTGACACCATGACAAGAGGGATAATATGGGGGTTATACAGGGTTTATGTAGGGATATTATGTAGGGGCAATATAGGGATACTAGTAGTATTTAGGGATTATATGCGGGGGTATGTAGGGAGATCATCTAAGGATAAGGGAAGAGAAAATGGAAACAATTTAGGAATATTGGCGCCATGCCACCTTACTGCGGGTTAGTACGGACTATACGGATTATATTCCCTCATTCCTTACTAACCACCCGCAAGCCATTTGAATCTTCAAGTCGCAAGAATGTCCTCCCAGTCATACCTTTTGGCATCATGAGGCCTTTGTCGACGCCAAACACACATCCGAAATGCTTCATTGCCAAGTTGCAATGATGCCACCTGGAGGCGCGTACTCTTTCCTTATAGACAAATCTTGAGCAGGGGCATAAGACAGAACTTTCAAGCAATTCCTGGCAGGTTGCATTCAGGGTGCTTCATTCGCATAGTCGAGTAGGCCGCATCCCTCTCTCGAAATGTCATGGTTTGCTGATGTTCAACAACGACGTTCAACAACGACAGGCCTAGATTCTACATTGAGTTGAGTTCAACAACTTCGAGGGTTCTGGACTATACTTCCATTCTCAGACAGTGGTGGAAGTTGCACAACAGGATGAAGCCTGTATGCCTCGGAAATCATCAAACGGTGATTGGTGCCATCAACCTCTACACTTGCGTGTTTTTGGTTGATCTATCAGAACATGCACCACGCTCTCATTTTCAAGATGATTGGTTGAAGTCTGCACGCCGAGTGGCTGAATCCAGGAGAGTAGCTTCTCAAACCCCCATGGAACAATGTCCCAGCCCATGTCGGTGCGCTGCCTAGGATTTGGGACAAAACATGAAACGCTTCCGGACTTACGGTGTAGGTTCAAAAAGGCCACTCTGATTGAAATGATCTCCAAGAAAAGGACCCCCCGATTTTGAGGGGCCCAACGCAATCGCGGAGCGCATCACAAGCAAATGTTGACAAAAAGGCTGGGTTCAACCTGATGCTCAAAGAACTCTGCGCAGTACGATTTCCCGTCTTCCATCACGATAGGCGACGATAGGGTTGTGTATCTATCCCCGGGTAAGCGCTATGAAGCATTGTCGCCAATGCAAACTTCTCTCAACGTCCCATCTCACGCATTTCGAACATGCACAGCCTGCCCGCTGCAAAAATCATGAACGCCAAGGCGCCATCGCGGATCCGATATGTTTCTGACATCCTGCGTGCAATTACGCTCAGCATGCCAGACTTCCCTTGCGCCAATAAGAAGGCCATACTGATACTGCTGAAAACGGTGGACATGATTTGGATGATTTCTATGAGAAGTTTGGTTTCGGTGCTGGGAATAAAAATGATCAATATTCTCGAGAGCGTTCGGGCTTATCATGCGCAGAACTAATCACAATCATCATGGGCTTCTGCAGTGATGGAATGTGGCCCGCTCCTGGTCAGCAAAGTAGTTCGGAACTGCCGGTGGGCCATCCCTGAGTTGCTAAGCAAACGCTACGGAGCCAACAACACGCAGCTTCTGCTTGAAACTGTACACGGGGCGTACTGAGGGATTTCTGAGCATGTCTCTTTACCCTGAAAAGACTGAAGTTTTTGCAGCATTGCCCATTGCCCATGCATGCGTTTTAGCGCAAATTCATTTTCGCCCTGCATGTATTCGTTGTATGTCACGAGTCAAAAGGTTGAACAAATCTCGCAAAACCCACTGATGCATCGCCAGGAAGCTCGCCAGGCGACACGAAATCGGTGGAGTAATGATTCAGTCCGAAGAAATCTGATGATCCCTTCAGAAGCTCCGCTTCCTGGCAACAAGCACGAAAAGAACGATTAAGGTAAGCAATCCCCAAAATCAAGGTATGTTTGCATACCCAAAACCAGACCATTTTGCAGAAAGATCATGTTCAACGACATCAATGTCTTGCGGGTGCCTTGTCGGTGAACAAGGGAAGCCGCTCTGCACAACGCTCGCGCATGGTTGCTGGATATGCACCTCCCACACATGTTAAAGGCAATCACCTTGCGTCCGAAAGATCGGTTTGTTTGTTCACAGGACCTCTTGCAAACAATTGGGCGGTTCATGATCGGTGTGCACGTCGGCAAATAGTGCAATGATGTGATTTCCGTTTATGTTGGCACGCATGCAACGTAACCAAGAGATGACGCCTTTGTAGATTGGATCGGCGAACCAACCAAGCTGCCAGTCTAAAGCACCTGAGCTTGCAAAGAACTCCTAGGTCGCTTCCCGCTAGCCAATACCAAAAGTTCTGCGTTTTGCATCAAGACGCGTTGCTGTGCAGCTAGGTCGGATGCAGCGTCCGACAAGGGTTCCTGCAAATTGCAAACATGCAGCCCATGCTTCCTTACGACATTTTTGCGCCCGACCCGCCCCCCCCCCTACCAAAACAGTGAACAGAGCTAACTTGTAAGTCAATCACGCGTGAGTCGCGAGTCAATCACGCTTGCTGTGTAGAAGGCGCCATGCCCGACCTGCCCCACATCGTGTGCTACTTGCACCAATCAATAACCCCACGGTAAACTCTGATCTCCTTCCAGTCCATGTTCAGCGTGATACCTCCCAAGCATGAATGACAACACATGACAATACTTTATCTGATTCGTGTACAGCCCTCGCAGCATGCAAGACTTAAAGCATTGTTCGGCACAGGGGCCGCAACCATCAAGGATCTCTTGCGATGCAGAAACGTGCACAAAAAAAAACATGTTTTTTTCTCGCGATTGGCATCTGCGAGGCCAGGTATGCGAGATGAAGCCTTGAGCTGTGGCACTAAATGTTTGAAAGGTCTATCATAGTGGGATAGGCGGTATTAAGTCTGAGGGAATGGTGACCACGCCCCAGCCATCAGCTCACTACTGGCCATCTCAGCGGATATGGAGCTGCCAGAAGTCGTGTGGACTGTGGCTGGCATCTCCGGGAGTACAGAAGCTCTTGCGCAATCTCGGGGAAAATCGCAAATGCTTACAAAAAATTATCGACAAAATGTGCCAGCACTGGCAGCTTGTCACGTACCAGCAGAGGGTGGCCTCTTTTGTAATCTGGACTACACTGGTTACAGCTGCATTTTCATAGTTCACAAGGGGTCAGAACAAGCCAAGACAGCCAAAACTCTCACCCTCGCGAGTTTGGTCATTAGCAGTCGGCGCCACCTTGCAAGACTGAGCACGATAAAATTCATGTCACAACAAATTGCACATGCTGGAAGTGCACAGCTCTTCAGCGGCACGCTGGTCCTCTATCTTACAATGCGCCAGTTGCACCACCCTTCTTGAGCAGAGGACCCTGTCGCCCCATTCTACATGCAGCCAAACCGCTCTTGCACTTGCATCAGGCAGCTTCCGCCAACTCGACGTGCGGCATTGGACCCTTCTCGTCGCCTTCTATCAGCTGCCTCAGCGCACCGCGAAAAGCACCAATGTTTGCAGCAACACCAGTCACAGTGGCAAGGCGTCCATCATGCTCGCAGAGGACCTTGTTCATCCAGGTCGCTTGTGTGGTGCCACTTGGACAACCCCGTCTGACCACTTGATGACCACTGCATAATTTCCTTGGTGTCATCTTGGGCGAATTTGAGTGACTTGCGATTGTAAGCTGGAACAAGCAGGGTGCTGGCACCTAAACTCAGCTCGGAAAAGCACAAAAACAAGACCAAGGCTGACGTGGTTCCCATGTCCACGATCTCGTCTGGCTTCAGGTCCGGGGGCGGTGGTGTCACGCCACCCGCACCTGCCCAGTCTGAGGGAACACAAGCATCACTGGAGCTAAAAGGATGCGCCACGATGACTGCCTCCTTTGCAGAATTACCTCATGAAGCCGAAAGTGTAACATGGGCCTTTGTCCCGCAGCCGCAATTCTCGCGGGTCAATGCCTAGCTCCTGACAAACTTGGAAGTGAAGCCAACAAAGCGGTTGATGCCTAGCATTGCAGTACTTTGACAAGCTGCATCATCAAGACAAGGCTTGGATAACTTAACAGCAGGCCTTGATAGGGCTCACAAGAATCACCCCAGTGGTAGATTTTCTTGCGATAGAATTACTAAGACTTCGCTGTCAAAAAAAGAACCAAAGCTCAAGACATACCGGTAGAATACCTCCACATTAATTACCCTTCAAATGCACGTGGTAAAACACCTGTATGACATACGGCCTCATAAAACGCGCTTTTACAGAGGTTGGATCTAACGTCCCTCATCCCCAAACAGACTCTAAACATGTAATCATCCAACCACAGAAAAGCCAAAGCTCCTCCCCGTTCGGAATTTTCAGACGAAGGATTCGCCGCTCACCTGCCCCAGATTTCGGATGCACAAAAAACCACGTGAGAAGTCCATGTAGGGAGCCATGTATGGGATTCTGCGGCTACATGAGTCTGTACATAGATAGATGGACAAGCAGATAGATGTAAGCCAAAGGGGGATAGGGGATACTACGAAGTTGGGACATTTGCAAATAAAGGGTCATGTAGAAAATGCGTAGAGGCCATCTTGAGTGTCGGCTGCGCGGTGCATCATATTGTGGAGCCATGCTACAATGTGACAAACGTTTCTGCAAGATAGGTTGACTAGAAGGTGAACACCCGCAGGATGGGCCCAGGTCGTTGGAAACCTGCCTGCAGGGATCAAGCTAGAGTTATGTTATGATGTGCGCAGCAACTATTGAAAACCGCCACATAATTATTTTGTCATTTTGTTGTCATGTTGCCGTCATTTTCTTGTCATGGGGGTGTGTCATGTTCATGGCCTTTGTCGTTGGTGGTTGTCATTTTGAGGTCATTCTTGCCATTTTCAGAAACGACGCCAGATTCCAAGATGACACCGAGATGACAAAGAAATTACGAAACGATGACAAGAAAAATGACTCCAGAGGTAGTTCGCGAACGACAAGAAAATGACAACACATGACAATGCTACAGGAAGTAACGTTCTCAGGGCCTCCCCCGGCTCCGGGAGCATGGGCACTCCCATGTATCATGCTTCGTCATGTTTCGTAATTGTTGTGTCTTTTTTGTCGAAGCATGATGGAAAACGACAAGAAAACAACAAAAAGATACGAAAAAGACAACGGTCGATGACAACAACCGACAAGAATGTGACAATTAAATGACAAAAAAAAAAAACATGATTTGGACCTTCCCAGTGCCTACACCAAAACATCATACAAAGCTAGAGTCATATCTGGGTGTAAATGGGGCGCTACCGATCAACGCCATAAATCTCACTCAACCTACAAGAGATGAACCCTATCTCTAGCCTACACAGCTCAATTGAGAAAGCCCGGCATCGGAAGCCAGATCATCTCCATACACCCCGATACACAAACCATACTCACCCTGGACATGAACAACGGAGAGGCTAAGCGCATGAGGGTTTCAAGCAAAAACGGTCACCAAAAAACATTATCCTTACAAAGCGGACCCCCCCAAAAGAAAAAAGCCCCAGATTCTTGGAAACCCCCCAAATGGGCTCTGGCCCCGATACATCGCCCTGTTACAGGTCCCCCCCTAACTTTAGCCCACAGCTCACAAAAAGTAACATGACCATGTACTGGCAACAAGAGTATTATAATAGGCATACTAATACTAATAGTAATAGTACTACGGCCAAGAGACCATCCCAGGTCAACTCGGGCTGCTTGCGGTTCTCGTGGATCTTCTCCACTTCATTGATGACCGCATCTGTCAACCTTGGAGGATGATACTTACTTGTCGTGGTTAGTAGGGAATAAGGGAATATACTCCCTGTATAATCCTTATATAATGTATTCCCTTACTCCCTACTAATCACCAGTAAGTCTAGGGATTCCATATGGATAATGTAAGGCTTCGGGATGTTAGGGAGAATACCTAGGTGAAAGATTCCACACTGCTTGCTTCTTCTTCGTTGGGAATGAAGGAGTGGATTACAGGGCCTGTGATATTCACAGGGTCCTAAACCCTAAACACTATACCCTAAGCCCTATGAGTAGCACAAGCTGGGACAGAGCTGAGGATTCTGGGGGTTCCGTCAATGACGGCCCATCTACGAATCACACCAACGAGGCTATCAGTAATGCTAACGCGTAGCACAAGCGGTGGATTACTGATCGTCTTTAGGAACCCCATTTTAGCAATACTGAGAAATTTATAAATAGTAAGAGTAAAAATAATCGCCATAATTAAAGCAATAATACTCACAAGAGAAATAGACATGATAGTAATGATATAGCAATAAGAGCACTAATAGTTGTCATAAAAATAAGAATACTAATACTAGTAAAGTCAGTAGCAATAATACTAAAATTGCTGCAGCAACGCGACTTGTCCATCTGCTTGGAGCTCTCGCTGTCCCCCAGGTTGCCAAATGGAGTTCCAGTGTCACCTGGGCATGTGGGGGGGGTTAGGGTTTAGGGTTCAGAGTTTCCCGAAATTAGGGGCACCTTGGGGTCCCCACAACAAGGATTAGAGTATATTGGGATCTATATTGGGGTCCCCTTATCTTGGGAACTACCATGCGCCAAGGTGAACATCCCCCTCTAGTTCTGTTCTGGTGAGAGCGGTGAGAACTACATACCGGCTTTATGAAGAATTTATGTTTGCCAAACTCGGGGTCCTTTCTAATACCCCAAAATACAACAGTCCGCATTAAGAAACACCCAAAAGGAACGCCTAATCTCTGGAAGCCCCCAAGTCGGCTTGGGGACCTGCGGCGCTGCCTAGCCTGCTCAGCTAACCTGATCTGAGTGACCGAGCAGTGGGAACCCTTCTTCTGACTAAGATATGCGCGTTCTGAATAACATGAACAGTAACATGCTAGGTTTCTTTCGGCTTGCATTGTCTCATCGAAAGCTGGCATTTGCAGGGAAACTTGAAGCTAACTTTCACAGATGCGTCGCCAGCCGCAGCAACAGAGGCTTCGATCGGGAGCTCGAAAACTTGTTCAATGCCTTGGAAAACTTCGTGCTGCAAGCTGTCCATCTAGCATACAGTGACAGGGAGTAGCGGTGGCAAGCGCCATAACGGCAGTGGTACACGTACTGCTAGCCAAAGCAGCAACATCTTGCAGCCAATGCATCTGACAAAAATGGAATGAATGTTTGCCGCGTGGCCAAATGTATCTGCTATGGCATAGCCAGCGTCGGTCTTCCCAAAAATGTAGTGCTTCTCACCATTTGGCATGGCCATATAGCCTGTGCTTGGCAAGCATGGACATGTACGTCAAGAATCCTTCGTAGGATCTAGGTCTGGGCATCCAGGACTGGACTTGCCACAACCTCTGCGCAGGCCCCCGTCTTGTGGAGAGAGCTCCTGCATAGTGCAACAAAGGCGCTCATGTTCTGCACCACGGCCACAGAAGGGACATTGAGCTGGCTGAACATGGAGATTCCCCGCTCCACCTTCGCAGCGCGAACACTCACTACTTGTAGCAATGATGATCAGCCGAAGGCTGCATACAGGATGTATTCGCCTTGAAGTATATGCTTTGCACACCAGGCTGCATCAATGACACTGAGCTTCTGCGGGGTCGTCACGATCACGGCTGCAGTTATTTGGCACACTTGAGAGAGCGTGAGGTGGATATCACCCGTTCCAGGCGGCATGTCCAGCACGAGGTAGTCCAAGTCTCCCCACTCTGTCTGGTTCACCAGCTGCGACATTACACCTGCATTGCTGCGAGCTCTTGCATAATCGCTTTGCCATAAGTTTGGATACTGGTCTCTTCCTTTAGACGCAACATCTTGAGTTGACGCTGATTCTGCAGGTCTCAAACGCTATAGCCTAAACTCCTAGTATCCCCCTTAATAACCCTTACAGTAGTCCCCTACATAATTTCTGATATAGCCCCCCGTTAAGGAGTTCAGAACACGGCACATACGTACAAAGCTTACAGGTAAGGCTTGTCTTGCGCGCCCAGAAGAGAGCTACTGGCAACAAGGCATCTCCGTGATTTCATACTTAATAGTTTTCCAAAGTAGGGGGGCCTAATATAGACCCCAACATACTATATTCCTTGCTATGGGGGGGCCACTTAAAAAGGTACGCCTAGTTTTGGGAAAAAACTTAGACTTGCAGTCTACAACAACTGTGCTTCAAGATCTGTTCATCACAAGACTCTCTGCAGACTGATGGAGCCAAGACATGAATAATGTCTAGGGATATATGGGGAGTATATAGTAAAATGGAGATTACGACTTAGAGTTCGGGGTTTAGGGAAGAGCCTCACACTCAGCAATCTGTGCCGCCTGTAACCATTGAACCGCGCATCACCGCGGCATGTCCAACAAAGCCTGCGGCTGCAGTAGAAGCAATGCTGTTCGCAGTGCCTTTCAACAGTAGTAAGCTGCTAAGCAACATTCGCGCAAAGACCTAGATGTCTTGATAACACAAGAGCTAAAACCTAGACCCAACGTGTCGCAGATTCACTGGGGATGCTTATGACTGCGGAAGGACCATGCGGAGAAGCGCAACCAGAAAAGTACAAAGCCGGTAGAGATACAAAGATAGCGAGAGTCAAACGCGGTTGTCTCTCATGGATACAGAATGGGGTCCCTCAGTCATGACCAACGGGATGCAGGCTTGAATACAAGCTTATGTACGTCAGAAGCCTCATGCGTAGCTTGCATGGCTTCATGTCTTAGCATTTTGGACACGCAGGCTCATTCGTCCAGAGAGCCAAAGGAGACCATCTTGATGCCGGTCTTTGGGTCAATGACTGGCCTGATGTGCTTCCTTGGCCATGCGTATAATGCACGATTTGAGATATGAGAAACATGCATGCCTTCACATCGGTCTATGTAATTCTGACCTCTTGCCGTATATGAAGGTACGTACTCCTATGGCGTCATATGCATTGGGCACACCACTGATCCCGAGGAGTTCAGAGGCGCTTGGGCTTGATTGAGAAAATGGAGCTCTTTGTGGCAAACGAAAGGGGTTGGAGGCTCCTCTACCTCATGGCTTGCGTGTTCATCCTTGGCAGAGGTAGTGGCTCCAATGAACTGCGGTGTGCTACATATGAAATACAGAGAGTGGCCTTGACAGTCAAAGCGCACCGTGGAATCTTCAGTCAGCAAGCAAGACATCTGCAAGCTTACGTGCTATATCTGCAGTTGCTGTCTGGATCCCCTGCAGGAGGCCTGGCCCATACTCACACAGTTGCTTCATGCTGGTCCAATGCAAGCAGAAAGCATTCCATGCAACCATGATCGTCATGCACCACAGCAAAGGTTGCAAGATGGCCCCCAATTGTTGTGACAATCAATGGTTCGGGCAACATGGATTGACAACTACACCCGCCGAGCAAGCATGTTCAAAAATGTTTCCAGTCGCATGAGCGCAATACGTTGTGGTAGCTTAACAGTCATCCCAGTTGACAACTTACGTGTCCAACATGAAGAGGACAAACATGCTCCTGCAGCAAGCTTTTTCCTGCTGTTGCCAAGGGCTTTCTCAATTTCCTCCTGTCTTGCAGGCTTGCTGCATGTTTCCACGAGCTTGTTCCACGGAACGGTACCCCTCAATAAACTCCCGCAAGGGCCTGTTACACTCGGTGGCGTTATAGTCATCATACTCTGATCCTGGCGGCGAGCTGCGCCGGAAAGACAAGGACCAGCCACGTTTGCTCCCATGTTTGGAGAATGAGATGGAAAAGCAAGCAACTGGCGCCATGCTCGTCACCCCGGAGCTTCCAGTCCCACATATGCGAAAGAAAGAACCGGCTACACATGCCGTATCTTGCTTCGGGTACGCAATGTCCATGGAATCCCTCGGCGTGTCAATGGGCACCAGGCAACGCTGGGATGTGCTGCATGACCATAGGCTGTTAGTCTCTAGTGGCCATGATTCCCATGCCCTGGGATCTACAGGCTGAATGAGGCCACTCTGGTAATAAAGATCAGATCGCATGGCCAGACTCCACGCATACATTTTGCTGGCCTGCAGCCAGTGGCCAGTGAGATCCCGACAAAGCTGCTTCCTCTGAGCGGCATGCTGAGTCTTCAGGAAATCATACAGCATGCCAAACCCCGGCTTGGTGTTGACCTCTGTCTCATACCTGCAACATCGCAAGCTTCCGGTTGGCAAGCATCTTGGAGGCTTTCAAACCAAAACGCACTTGCAACGCAGAGCGGAAGAAAACCAGAAGAACATGTGGTACTGCAATTGCAGCGACGCTGTTGAAGACTTGACAAAACCAAGGCACAGGGAGAATGCGAAGCTAACGAGGCCCAGCGTGGATGCTGCCAGTCCGAACAGCCCAATGTCATGGGTTTGCCCTCGTCGATGCAGGCCTGCTATCGGGCTTCAATGGACACTCCACAATGCACAAATCGCTCAGTCGCACGGACTGCGGGCTCATTTCTCCTCATTTCTCCCCAGAATACCTTCTAAAGAAGCGACAGCCGCAATCTACCCTTCAGCTCAGATTCTCCGATCTCCCCGGAATCCTGGGACAAACCAGCCTTGGCCGAGCGAGGTCGGCGAGGCCATGGCCGTGTCCAGCAGCGCCTCGGTTGCCTGTGGAGCACGGCGTTGGAAGCCAGGGGTGGCATCACACCAGCCTCAGCCACAGAAAGCTTAGGAGCTTAGAATATTCAGCCTTAAAGCAATACTAGCATGAAATCTACACTGTAACAATTGCGACCATGGTGACGAAACTGTTCTACTCTACATAACTGAGCGTCTTGACAGCAGGCCGTCCAGGCGGAACCTCCTCAACTTGGCCAAAAACAGCCTTCTTGTCCATGCAGTTTCCAGAGTACTCTCGCCACATTCTAGGTATGTCCAATTTGTGGCGGTCTGACTCCTGGGATGACTTGCAACATGGCAAATTGACCCGCAAGTCACCGCCGTGTGCACGCAATGTTTAAAATGGCTATCTGGGAAACGAAAAACCATATCCTGCTTCTAACCAAGCTCCTGCAATCAATCAGCTGTGCTGGGAATGCGCCGCTCTCCTGTAGGCTGACGGCATGGGATACAAAGATGTGTCTGAAAGAAAAAATGCCCGGTAAGCACCTCCAGCTTTGAGCATTCTTCTTGAAGACTCTGGACCATGGTCTTTTGCAGGTGTTCCATTCGCGGTCTTTCAGCACAAGCTTCTCGCACCTGCAGCACAGCACTTTTCTCAATGCCAGATAACGCGAGCCCATGTTCAAATGCAACATGCAACGCTGGCGCCTGACGGCTAGCATCCTTGTTGCCGAGCAACTCCTCAAGACCTAGCTGCGCAGTGTAAAGCATGCCATCAATGTCGCCGAGTAGTCTGCATTGCTCCTTTGTGGTGTCAGTCATATCCTGGAGGAGCGCTTTCGCGGCGGCATCATGTTTTTTGTTGATTGCCAGCCTGGGCCGCAACGCAACTTAAACCAGCAAAGCCAGGCTTGGTCTGAACAGACCCGTGACTTGTAGCAACTACGATCGTACTGCGACCAAATCACGACTGCGCAGTCTTTCGGATTGAATGCACTGAGCCCAAGGCACCCAAAGTGCCAAGTATGATACCGGTGATGGGATCCGAGACAGTCAAGTCGGCTGCTTGCGCGGCGGAGATGCGAGTGCAGCTTACATGCAGCAAGGCCCCAGGCCCGAAGACCAACAATGTGAACATCATCCTCCACACATGGATCCATAGGCGAGCCATTCGGCTCGGTAGCTTTGTCAATGTATGGGCTTCGCAAACTGCTTCCGCTTGATCCAGAACAGCTGTTTGCAAGTTGCAAATTGTGCCCAGCCCTTGTCGTGATACTTGAAACTTTGTCCCTTCGAAGACAGAAGCTCCACTGCGCAGTACAGGCTGTGGTTATCCTGGTGCCAAATCGCTACAAAACAACATGACCCTGTCTTTCAGCTGTACCATCTTGTACCTATACACTCTGCCAGCACTTCAACCAAAATCTCGAACAAGGACTTGTCAAGCTGCATGTGCCATTCGAGCTCAGGAGCTGTTTCTGCTCATCCTGGTACATCTCCATCTTTGGTGTGTCTTCCTGCAAAGTTGCAGTTTTGACACCCTCACTCATAGACATTACCTCTAGTTCGTGGTCATATCTTGGCACTAAGACCACGCGGAACAAGCGACGGTCGGAGCAAGCGACGGTCGGAACAAGCGAAGATCGGCTAGAATCAAATACTGCACGTGCTGCTTTGCTAGCCGCTAGCCTATTTGGCCCAAAATAAACCTCTGCATCACCAGCCCGAAGCAGTCTGCACACATCTCCTTCGGCTGCTAACAAACAGAAAACAACTGACTTCACGGTAGGATTTCGAACCGATACATAAAACATCCGCAAACCACAAGCACTTATTCGCTTCACGATGCAGCCTGGAACCTCACCATGACGGGTAAGGAAGGGCCGTAGACGTCACAGTCGAAGATTCCAACTTTGAAGCCTGCTGTTTCTGGGGACCATGCAGGAGGCAACCATGCAGGATTGCAAGCTGGCTTCAAGTGACATAAACCGCAAAGAGTTGACCGACTTTCCCATCCATCGCATATGCCTTCCTGCATGATGGGAGATCACATGAGCAACAACAGCCCAGGCATCCTGCCTTTGTTATGAAGCGAGAAGGCCAAGTTCACCGCCACCGTGCTTTTTCCCACGCCACCTGCTGCACGCTTGCAGCAAGGAAGCCCAGTATTGATATGGGTCACGCGTACTATACCATGTCTACCAAGGGCTCCTTGATACCGGGTCTCTTTGCTGCTACAGTAGATATTACAAATTTCATAACCGTCATGGATACTGCAGGACCCGCTGCCTTTGCACGAAGACACGGCGACAATGCTCCTTGCGAAGTGAAGCACTTCCGGCTAGAAACCAAAATGTCATCAGTTTTGATTGTTAAGTCAACTCCTCGGATCACCTTGCCTATTACGACCGGAACTCTTGTTGGGTGGCCATAGAACCAACAAGCCTTTTCAACAGGAACGACCCACAGGCACATTGCCCAGAGGCCCAGAAGAGCCTCTGCACCCCCCCTAAACCCTGGATTGTAGTTTCCATTCTCTTTTCCATTATCCCAATATAACTCCAACATAAACCCTTAAAAAAAAAAAAAACGCTGGAGCACGCACTGATGCTGGGTTTGAGCGATGCCTTGTGATGGAGCCAAACTGCAGATTGGTTCACTGGTTCTTCATTGATTCAGGCTGTCATGTTTCAAAAATTTTAAGATTATCGTAAAAGGACTTTAAATTGTGGGCATTGGCTACTAGTATCTGGATACTGCAAACATCTTGCACTGCAGCTAAAACTCGCTGCAGTGGAAATCCTGAAGCCTCTACATGCCTTACTTCAGCTATTTTGGAGTTTCAGCGAATGCCCATGATAAAGCTTAGAGTATTTTGGGGGTTTACATTGGGGTCCTCCATTTTGGGAAACCACCATTTAGGAGCAGAGCCTCTGCTGAGGACTATCTGGACCTGTCTCTAGAGGTCAATCATTGCAAGGGAGCGCATGCACGACAAATATCCTTCCCTCATTCTCAGAACCAACTCCCAAAATCAAGAACAAGATGAGCTCTCAGGCTCTTCACCTTTTCGATGACTTGATTTAAAATCATCTGCTCTAACATGGCTCTTAACAACTCTGAGGCTCTTCACGTTTTTCAAGGACTGCGGCATCACAGGCATCGGTCGAGGCGGATTGGTTGCAGAAGTTTGGGTGCGAACGGCACCTGAACCGGGTGGGAGGTTCCAGAAATTAGGGACCCATAGGGCCTCAATTAGGGTTATATTGAGATATACAGGGGTATACAGGCAGAACAGAAAAGAAAATGGAAGCTACCGTTTAGGGTTGAGGGATATTACCCCAATTGTAGAAAGTCAAATGGAGAAGAGACTGGGAAAGTAAATGGAAACTGGATTAGCTTTTCCAGAATCCAGTTGTCTTTTCATCCCTGTGCCAAAGGATGATAGCAGATTACATAGGTGCAGAGGGGGTTCCATTGGGATCATTGCTAGGGTGATGTGGGAGCTGAGAGCAGGACACCTAGAGTCTGCAGCAGGAACCACATCAAGCAATCACTACTGCATAGCTGCTTCACCATACTTGGAGGCCCATGGGACTTCGTAACCCCTTATCACTGGGCTTAGAACCCTACTTGTAATGCCCCCTAAATGGGCTTATAGGGGCTACCCCAATTAAGTAGGGTTTTAAATCCCAGCTACAAGTGGTCACTAAATCCCATAAGCCTCCATGTCAGCTGTTGCATCTGCATACCGGTGTCTGGCTAAGTTGGGTGCCGGAAGCAGGAGAGACGCATTTTTCACCACATTGGGGATTTGTGCTACACGTTACTACTTGGGGAAGTCCCCATGCAATCCCATCAACCAACCCCTAGACTCCTCACAGAACTGCTCACAGTCTCTCCTTACTACTTGGGAGAAGTTTCCATATCCATCTGCAGATACCTCGCTTTTCTCTGGGGCACTTGCTGATTGAGGAATGCATGGCTTTGTGGATACTTTCTGCTTCCAGTTGAGCCACCAACTCGCACTTCCACGGTCTTTGCCCAAGGGATTTGGGAAAGCCGCTCCTGCAAATTGTGCTGTCAGGAGGATGGCAAGCAGGTCATGCAGAGCGGAGAAGGACTGTCATCAAAGAAAGTTGATAACAGCCCCTGCAGGATAGAAACCCCACTTCCCAGAGCACAGATCATCTGCAACTGAAATCAACTGAAGTACAGGCAAACAGCGTTGCCATTGCAGCGCCGCTGCCCGCGCTGTTGCATGAGGACACTGCACATGGGTAGCACTGCGAACAGCAAAAACAATGTCAAGAATTTGGAGCTGAACGAAGGCCACTCTGAGAACATGAACCCCACAGGCACGTACATAACGTTGGCACACCTGGCCCTCTACTTATGCGTTTGCTAGATTTTAAAGGAACCCAAGGGCTGCATACACATCTGGGTATGAAACAATTCTTGGAGGACCGCACAAAAGCTAGCAGAACAGGTCTCCTCGACCTCTGCCTTGTACATCTCCACTTCCAGGACTAAAGAAATGTTTCCTGTGATCCGCTCGGCCTCCATGTCACAAGGGCAAACGTATGCAGGCTTATTCATTCTGGGCTACACAGTGTTGACAGAGTCAAGGCACTGCAACTTAGTTCGTGACCAAGCTGCTACACCCGCAGAAGACTGATTTCCCCAACCCACTGCTACGAAGTCAACACGTGGGTAGTTCCCAAATGTAGGGTGCCATTTTGGTACCGCTACAATTTATTATTGGAGCCCCCCAAAAAAATTGAGAATGGTCCATATGCGTGTGAAGCCAAGACTCCTGATGATGCAGGCTGATACCACGTTTACACAGATTTACTGGTTCTTAGTAGGGCTCACCCCTAAACTTACTTACAAAATGCTCCTGAACCTCAAACCCTGAACCCAAAATTCTGAAGGGTTGTTAGTCGGGAATAAGGGAATATATTATCTAGGGATTATATAGGGGTTATATTCCCTTCTTCCCTACTAAGAACCAGCAAGCAGATGGCACAGCAGAATTAGGCCTCGTTTGTATCTAGGGTCTCACAGGTATCGAACAAGGAGACAGTAAACTGGCTGCAGGGCAAATGTTTAGAGAAAGTGTTGCAAAAGACCGAAGCGTCAATGGCTAGAGCTAAGTTCAAAGCCATACCAAGGGACAAACCAGACAAGAAGGATGGAGGTCTGCCCAGCGGACATCAGTCATGATAGTCTTTCAGGGAGCGATTAATCAAGTGAGATCAATCCGACCACAGCTGAAAGGTGGATACCTAGAACGCCATCAAGAGGGACTACAGGCAGTCTCCCTAAGCATACTTGCAGGTTCATGCTAGTTCCAAGTGTAATGATAAGTACCCCGAATGAGTGGTTATGTAGAATGTTGATGCTAGTGAAAACTACCGCAATTCCTAGGCGTTGTCATCCACCGTATCTATCCATTGACCTCCAAGTAAACGCCAGCCCCTAAACCCCTAGATCTAAACGGAGTTCCCACTGATTAGGGCAAAGAACCCTGACGACAAAAAATTAAGCCTTGAGCCCTAAACCCAAAATTTCTCGAACCCGAAGCCCTGAGCCCTAAATTCCCTATCCGTAAACCCTTTCTGTGCAGACCTTAAGCCCTAAACGCCTAGACCATGTTTAATCCCAGTTTCCATTTCATGTCCATGGTCCTTTCCATTTGGTTCTACCTTCTTGGGGTAACATACCTGCTATAAAACCTTATGTGTATGTGTATATATATATACACGCTATGAAACCATACATCCCCTGTAACACCCTTCAATCTACCCTATTAAAATTCTGTTTATCCCGCATAAAACCCTATATGAGCTGTAGTCTAAACTCCGAGTAGCCCCCTTAATGACCCCTGCAATACTCACCTATACAACCCCGTATAACCCCCTTTAAGAAGTTCAGTCCCCAAACCCTAAACCTTAGTCTAAAACCTAAACCCCCATCTCCCTAAACCCTTAACCCTAGTCCTAAACCCTGATCCCTAAACCCTATTCCCCTATATACCCCTATATAATCCCTCTATAAGAAAGATATGGTATATCCCCTGACCCCACGCCCGGCCTTGATCTGGCCGACGAAGCCACTAGTGACGATGTCCTGGGCTGCTTGCTGTTAAGGAACTTAACTTAAATTAATATGAGGGTTTAGGGTTTAGGGGTTTAGGGTTTAGGGTCTAATATAATAAGGAAACGTCATTATTTACGATATGCCCAAATCATGGAAATGTAATTTCACTTCCTTAATAGCAGCCCAGTGTCAGTACCCAGGTCGGGGTCTTTGACTTGCTCCAAGGCTTGCCTGGGATGTGGGGGTTTCCTTAAATTAGGAATACCTTTTTGGGTTCCCAGCACCCATAATCAAGATTTTAGTATATCGGGGTCTAAAGTGGGGTCCCCCTATTTTGAGCCTGGGATGTAGATAATGGAAAAGAAAATGGAAGCTCCCATATTATCGGGTTACATAGAGCTATTTAGGCCCGTTAAGTGGAAAAATGGAAGGTAACTGTAGGGGCCCTAGGATACATGCATATATAGATATATCATTAGAGATGTAGGGATCAATGCCCAAGGGGGAATTCTGGGTATGTGCACTTCTTTTGAAGCCCTGCGGGCGTTTATGTCTGCCAGGGAACAGGGTCCATCCGTCCTCACGTTAGGATGCTCGGTCCAGTCTGGACGATGTGCTGCACATGCGATTAGACGCATGTCGTTTGACTTGGGACTCATGTAGGGCTAGAGGGGCATTAAAACGATCGAAGGGCAGGAAAATGGGTGGGGATCCTCAAAACAACGCGTTTCAAGGGAAGGGGTCCTATTGAGGATTCCATGGTGTGATTCCGCCCGAAAGTCATGATAAGTGTCCTTTTGGGGAGCCTGCGACGCAGTTGTTGTAGGGGAATCGGGAATTACAAGGATTTGTCTAAGGGCCGTGCCTGTCTGGCGTACCCACAAGAACGGGCTGCTCAAATGCCAGGAGCAATATCCTAGCGGCGGAGTAGATGGCACTCTTCCAACTGACATGGCATGCCTAGCAAATGCCTTCGTTTGTGGTCTCAATTCCAGCCATACCCTTTCAATAGCGTTTCCCAGAGCTCCGGTGTTGATCTCTGCATTGTTGTGGGCATGCTTGCTAGCAAGCTTCATAAGGGTGATCTACACTTCCATCACTCCCTGGCTGAACGGCTAAGCATGATGCGGCGCAGGCGGCATCTAAAGAAAAACTACCCCCAAAAAATGTCGACCCCACACAAACCTCTGCAATTCCCCAGGTTATGACCGTCAAAAAGGATATTAGCACCAGGCCGAAAAGCATCAATGAGCACTAGTGTTCACATCACCCTAGAGAAGCCTCACGTGCGGCCCTAAGCTGCATCACTTCCTGCACAGGAGTGGGCCCTGGCTGACCTGCTGCCCGACCGATGCTGCGGCGTTTGGCACCGGTGCTCCTGAAAGAGCAAACACTTCAGGATTGGGAAGCAGAGTCTCCATTCTGGTTGAGTACGCTTAACGGATTTTGGGGATTGGCAGGCACCTTAGCATGGTCCTGGTGAGTGTACAGCAGAGCCATTCCTGAGAAATATTCCTGAATGCACATTACGAGGAACCGTAGTTGCCAATCCTACCCCATATCAGAGATGACATGAAACCAGGACCAGGACTACGGAATCCTTATCGCTATTGGGTCTTTGTAACTTGGTACGGTAATTCCCCGGACCTCAATTTAGACCCTAATATACTGTAATCCATTTTATAGGGACACCCGGAAAGGTCCCCCTATTTTTGGGAAACCCCGCATTTCGGGGAGATGGGGGGGGGTTGTTTCTGGAGAACTCCCTCATCTGCGTGCTTCTGTTTGACGAGGCCTCAGACCAACAGCCAGACCAGCGATGCCCGCAGCAGCGACAGCGCCGCCTTGGGGCGAAACCGCTACTCGAAACTTTCTTGTCGCACCTCCTTCGCTAGCGCGATTGACTGCGCATGACAGCCAAGGGCAGCAAACATAAGGCATCCGGGTATCGCGGTACAAACATGAGATGAAGGTCGAAGGTGTGGATCATGATATGGGCAATGTTCAGGTAGACATGTAGCAATGGGACTCTCTGAAGATTACAAAAATGGACACAGAAGCATGATAAAGATCTACACCTTATGTTGCCCATTGTAGTACTTTCCATTTTCGTTTCCATTATCCCCTTATAACCCCCATCCCTAATATTACCCCAATGGGTTGCATGCTGCAGGCAAAAGGCTTGATGATGCCTGTGGTGCGGCTGCCCCTGGCAGGGGTCAGGGTTCGCACAATAGAGGGGGAGTTCCCAAAATAAGGGGTACCATTCTGGGGGTCCCCATAGTAAGGATTATAATATATTAGGGTCTATATTGGGGTACCCTTATTTTTGGAAATGAATACAGGAGGCTGCCTCCATTATTGCTCCAAGTTGCACGAAGGTCTGTGCAGGGATTCTACCTGTATGATGCTTCCTCATATACTGCTCCAAATCACTCACTAGGGGTTGTGTAAGGATTGCATCGTAATGGAAATGAACGATACCAGAATTATGAGGCACTGTACCTGGGAGGCGGCCTCAAATACTGCGGCAGGAATCCTAACATAGCCTCCATACTATACTAGTTCAACAAACTCCCGATAACTCCTGCTCAGCTGGTGTATCCTGCGCTCTCCTGTCTGAACTGCGCAGTTTCAGCGATCTGTCTCAGGAGGCGCTGCATTTGTGCATAAGCAAAACTACGGTCTGCGGAACATTGCGAACAACAATGCTGCGGGTTCTGCACCTGGAGCAGGGCGTAGTGGTGGTAGCCCTTCCTGGACCGGAGCGCCAGGCCTCAATCAGCCGCCCCCCACCCTCCGCAGAGGATGGCAAATGTAATCGCTCGCTAGCTGCTAAGCAGCTTGCAAAAAGCAGGCATGACCGAGTAGTGATGCATGACTGCACTACTCTACAATGCACAAATATATGCTCGTGGCACATGCAATGGCAAGGACCCAGGCACGCCGAAGCTTGTGCAAAGATCTGAGCGACTCACTGGCGTGCGTGTTGCCAGGATTGGCCCAAAGTTGCGAAAGCCATCCCGCACGCCATAACTTTGCGTGAGTAGCTCTGAAGCGAACAGATGCAGATCACAGCTGGCATTTCGGCTTGGGCTCTTCCGCTATCGAGAGGGCTAGTTGCATCTGTGCTGTTGAAGCGGAAGAACATGGTCCATGAGCGGCTCGCAGTGTTTCTACCATTGGTTGCCTGATTACTTCCTAGCAGCATGTGGCAGCTTGCTACCTGGAGCCATGAACGTCGGACCTTCGCATCGAGCTACTGCACCAGGCTCGCATCTACTCCGCAGGAAAATGTTTTCAGAGCACAACTCACAATGCAAGCGACCACTTGCGCCACCCACGCTCATATTTAGCAAGTGCAATTTCATGAATGAAGCCTTGGAGGCAACCACCAAGCCCTGAGACTGCCCGCCTATGCTGCCCCCTTGCGCTGGTTGATACTGGTCACGGTAGCACTTCACTGCCTAATCGTGAGCCATCAACAGAACTGACACTCATGAGGCCGGGATCAGATGCACGTGCTGCACGTGACGCCGCTTTGAAAATTTCACCAGCTGTTTGAGATGTGGCACAAGAGGGGCTAGGAGTTCGTGCTCCAAGTAGTCCGAGCAAATAGAGACACCTTCAAAGACTTGGTACCTCTTACCTGCATCTTGTTGCCGTCAGGGGCCTAAGCCTAAGCACTGCCAAGAAGCCTTTGCATGCGCAAGGAGCATGTGATGTGCCGCCAAATACCTTAGCAAGGCATGGCAATGTTCGCTCATGTCTAAAGCTTCTGACCACTTGCTGTGGGAACCTCCACGCAGAGGTCGCCTCCCTGCGGGCTGTCCCTCTATTCCTTCCAATCCCATTGCGGTATATCATAATTTATTGGCCTGGGAATATCTAACATCAGAGGGGGGTGGGGGGATTGAATATTAGGGAGGGGATGTTGTGTCCTAACTTCTGTCTGTAACATGATCAGTGCTAGTTATTGCTACTGCCAGCCATTCCGCGTACCTCATGACCCACACCCGTTGCCAGCCGTGTGGCGGTTCCTTTCCAGCATCTTCATTTCGCCCTGGGGCATGCCTTGGTTAGGCATGTCACGGTTTCTGAAGAGGAGGACCTCTGGAGACAAAATTTAGGCTCATGAGAGCATATGTATGGAAGTTAAGCCGTGGGATCATGAGGCTTCACGTTGTGACGGCACCCCTGTGGAAGTCCAAGATGCTCACCACTGCCGTAGCCCAAAGCGCAAGCACACCAGGGTTCCTCGGATCTCTAGGAAGAATGAATCTGGGACACCAGCAGCCGTGAACGCATGAAGTAGCTGGTCTCTCAGCTGCACATTGAAATCTCGACAATCCAGCATCAAGCTTGTCCCAAGTTGACTTGCAGAACACCCGTGCCAGGTGGACGACTCAACTGTTTACTGTTGCTGAGGGGACTAAAGGTCATGTTGAAATGCTGGGCCTGCAGCTAGTTGCAGCGTCCAGAGACCCGTTGATTGCTGGTAAAAGATAAGTTGCGTTCAGTGTGATCCAGTACTTGACGTCACCTTTGCTGCAAGCGGCATGCAAGGGCACCCAGACTGCGAAACTGCGAGCTGATTTCTTTTCTAGTCTTATTCGCTGAGCACGATCACCACTTCTGCTGCTACTACTTTTACATGCATGCCAAGATTGTTGGCTGGTGACAAGGCCCGGCACCCACACCTGTTAAACTGTTACATACCCGCTTGCATAGGGTATGGAACAGAGAGAGCGCCTTTCGCGACACAAACCCCCAACGTGACCTTTTACAGAAACCGTCCAAAGAGCGCGCCTGACGGTTTGTAACATGCTGGCGATTCGAGGGGTGTGTAACAGAGAGTCCAGGGCGCGGAACGCGACAAGACTGGTTTGCGGCACACATCTCCTCCTCCTCCTCCTCCTCCTCCTCCTCCTCTTTCTCCTCCTCCTCCTCCTCCTCCTGCTGCTGCTGCTGCTGCTGCTGCTGCTGCTGCTGCTGGCGCTGGTGCTGTCATTATCAGTATTCTCACCACCAGTGCTTGCAAAAACTAGTAACAATCATGGTAGCTGTGGCAGTCTTGAGTCAGATCTCTGTGGAAAACTTACCCTGCATGGCTTGCAGCACGAATTCCAGACCGTCTCTGTGACCCTTCAATCTTGGTGGTTGTTCATACGGAACTAGGTCGGAAAATTGCCACCAAACACTAGTGCTATCTCAAATCTCAAACAGCAACTCTTTATAACCTGGAAAAAATTGATTGTTTCCTACCTAGTAAGGAATGAAGGGATGGGAAGGGAAATGGAAACGGCCAGAATACTGGGGATCATACAAGGGCTGCTCTAGCTACAGCAGTCTAAAAAAGACGCTGCCTCAAAGTCTATCTTGCAGCACTGTATCAAAGTCGCGCGCTCTTGATACAACTTGGGTCCAAAATAATACTTCCCACCGAACCGTTCATCATCGTCATCATCATCATCATCCCTACGAACATAACGAACACCCTCCAACTTTCCGGGATTGCCCCTGACACGGTGACCCCACCGCTTCCATTTTTCCGCGGGCTCGAACTGCTTGAACTGCGTGCCAAGCAACACAGACTGTCAAGTTATTTGGTGACGGCGAGAGCTTGTCAATACGGCTCTTGATTGTATAAGAGCCCGATGTTGTTTGGGGCGATAAGTTGCGCCATACGCTCCCGCGTTTATGACGGACAATACATCTTTGAGTTTCGATGGCAAATGTCTCATGGTCATAGAGCTGGGAGTTGCAGGTTGACAGGCTGGGTTCTTGCTGCAGCAGATTCGAAAGCAATAGTCTCTGAGCTGAGCGGGGCGCAAAGGTAGTGCTGCCCATGCACAGCGTCTAGGCATGCAGATGTGCCGAGCTTCTCTCCACTCAGACTGATTTGGTCGCAACCTCTCCAACTTGATATTCACTAAGCTGCTGCGGCAATGATCTAACAATGCTTCAGCTTAGGTGAGAAACTCGGCCGGATGTCAACTCTGTGTACATGGACGCAGGCGCTGAGCCGGACGGACCACAGCTAGCAAGAAATGATGATACACGTGCCATCCTGCCTACCTTGATCTACTTCTAGTTCAGAGTCTACAAAACATTGACACCTCTCCTTACGTGTTATAGGTCCGTACTCTTCGGTGCCCCGTCCTCCAAGTCTAGAGGGTACTGCAGCGACTCACCCACACATGAAAGAAGCCAGTCATTAAAGCGAGTTCATCATATGAGCCCTTGCCCCTGCACACGACACGACACATTCCAGCATCACAGCAAACAATGTCGTCCATTGTGTGCAATATATCACCTTTCCAAAGAGGGGCCAGGCTTCTTACATGGGGCGAGCGGCAGTTTGTGGACGGCTTGCGTCAGGCAATGCAGCTTAGCTATTGCATGCCAAGCTTCGCAGAACGGTCTATGCAAACTCATCCCCACAAGAACCAGACGAAGGCGGAGGTAAAGGTGATGCCTTAGCTACTGTTGCGGAAGTTTGAGCCATGGAGGCTGACTCCAAGCTGCTACTTCACCACTTGCATGCTTTTTTAATTCTCGAAGCTGCTGCGCACAGATGGCAAAGGCTAATTGCAGGAACGTAGTTTACTGTGTATTCTTGTTGATGGAATAAATCCTACATGACTCCAGGTGTGCTACATCCAGGAATGACTATGCTCACCTTCATTTTGTTGGAAGCTCTCAAACAGATCGCCTTACTAGCACATGACGCCTACAGAACATATAGTTGAACTGTGCATAGCTTTAGCTTTTAGTTGTGGCTTTCGTGCCCATGGAGCTTAATTTTGACACAAGTTACCCAGCCCAGGCGTGGGAATAGAACTTGCTGCACTTCGCCATCCTCGCAGGCAACTGCGGGATTCTCAGCCAAGAATTTGCTGGGCTTCTGAGAGGAATAAATAGGACGCGGGGCGGATAATCGTGTGAGAAACGCTGAAGCCCAAAACCGCAAAACATGCAACTCCACACCCCAGCTCAAGATTCTGCGCCTGCGAAACTGTGCAAAACCCCTCACGGCATGCCCGGAAGTGCCTCAACACTGAGCCGCCTCAGTGTCTCCTCGGCGGACGCCTCTGCAGCAGCAGGGTTAGTCAAGGTTGCTTTATGGCCAGTCCCTCCGAAGTGTGGCTCCAGTTTTTTTTCCCGGAAGGACTACCGTACCTGAGCAGGGCCACCTGAGAAGAAACCGCCTGTAAGTCATCATCCAAGTCCCACGCTCATACTGCCCAAGTACACTAAAAATGCCAAAAACTGATACACAAAGCCCCGGTCCTCGCAGGGGCGGGGTTCCTGGAAACCAGCAGCCGCAGCTGCACCACGGTACCTTTTACTGGCTGAGGGCCATGGCACATGAAGGAATCCAGCTAGAAGGGTTCTTATACAGGTGAAACACAAAGGTTCCTACTATTTACTACTACAATGATTACTATTATTACTACTATTATTACTGCTACTACCACTACCATTACCGGCATGGCAAAAAGGCTGGGCCAAAGCGGCCAGGGTGCTGCACTCCGCAGAGCTGAATCGAACATCTCTCTTTGTTAGATCTGATGATGTCGTCTCAGGCATCCTATGATGGATGGCTATATTCTCATCACCCGGAGCTCCTGCTACTACAATGACAATGGCAGAATCAGATCTTCAAGAATAACTGCGCAACCTCGAATTCGAATCCATCTGGGACCCCGATGTGCCCTTGTTCTGAGAAGCTCCCACATCATCAATTTCTCAAGATGATGTCGCGGGGCAGCTCAAGTGGTAGCACTGGTGCTCTTCCCAGCAGCTGTACCCAGGACTCGCCTCCTGGGATGATGGAAAGCGGGTACCAAACTCAGCGTACTTGCTTCCACGCTTGCCTGTAGCCACCGATAAACCCACTACATGAGGAATCAACAAAAGGCCTCTCTGACGACCATCTAAATCTTTTCACGAATCACAGCGCGCACGTCGTTGTTAGAGTGTCATGCGCAGCATAAATCTCAACTCAGCAGTACGTCCTACACGCGATGCCCCTGAAACCATTGACGAAAACATATCGACCATATTCCGGGCCCGTCTCTATCCTGTTCTCTCTTGTAGTCCAATGTTGGCTTATGACTAGTGGCCAGGCTTTGGCTTCGCTGCAACGAACACCCTTCTCTTTGAGCCTAGACAGGGACGCCAAGCACCCTCTCTTTGGCGTGCAAGGCGGACGACTTACTTGATTCCTTGAGGAATTAGAATCCACAAGAGGGTTCTCATTTGATGGCTGCTGATTTGGGTCATGGAGACCCCACCTCGCGGCTGATTTAGATCCTTTGCGAAAGTGCAAATCTCGAGGGTGTACAATCAGGTGACCCCGGTGACCTTGCAAACCGGATGCCAACTGATATAGTCCGCTCAACAACCTGTGGGATCCCCTAGAAGATTTGGGTCGCTGCGCGCAGGCGCGCTAAAAAATAACCCCGATTAGAGGGATCCTAGATGCGGGCCTTTATCTCAGAGCTGACTGGGACCGAATCTGGGCATTTAAGCATACAGCACGTATGGCAGTGTCCGAAAGCTGGGATCCCCCTTGTGAACCCCAATACGCTAGGATTTCAACACGTGTAAGGACCTCCAGAATCCCTGAGCTGGAATACCACAAAGCCGATCCCTCAACGTTCTTGTGCCTGGCCTCCTGCTGCGTCTACGTCGGCATGGTTCCACATGCGGACTTGCGATGACCAGCTCGGTCCATAGCAACCTGCTGTGCAGGATGCATATCTCTTTTGGCCGCTTTAAAACGTGTTCGTCAAGTTTTCCATCTTCAGAAGTTTTGACTCCAAGTCGTCATGGCTCCTTTCCCTTTGGGATCTTCACGTTTCTTTTGCGGACTTAGCTGGACCTGCCCGCCTCACAACTCAGGGTTTGGCCAGACACTTTCTTCTGCAATTTCTTACTTTTGCTGAACTTCTTCCTAGTCTTACTGTGGTACGTCTTGATGCCGCAGTTCTCGCCACCAATGTAGCTGCACAAACATGATTCTTACAGGAGCTTGCAGACGGGTGTCTGCTGATTCGTCCCAACCATTCCCAACCCTCCTCAGAGAGCCAAATGACTTTAGTAGCAGTAAGGAGTACATAGTATACCTTAAATGGTGCCAGGACCCATATGAGCCCTGGACTAAATTTGTAGCATATCCCTTAATAGGTCCCCCAAAAAACCGTCTATAGTCGCCTATACGTCCCCCCCAACCTAAATTTAGTCCGTAGCTCATATGGTTTAAAGGAATCTTCCTCAATCAAGTGGGCTTGGCTCCCTGGGTCATCAGATCAGCTGCACTTAGACAGGGAGCGGTCGAGGAAAGCCTGGCAGCCGGTGCTCCCTCACTTAAGCTATAGTCTAAAGTCCTTAGAGGGTTATATGAGCCATAATCTAAACTCCTGAAATGGGGGTTATATACAGTAGGGGTCATATGGGGTATATCGGGGAATAGGGCTTAGAGTTTAGGGTCTAAACTCCTTGAAGGGGCTTATATAGGGGATTATATAGGGAGTAGGATAAGGGCTACTAAGGGAGTTTAAGTTCGGAAACGGCTTAGGATATGGTACTGAAGGTGTAGGGATCAGGCCATACGGCTTTGGGTGCGGCATGTGCTTGAGGCTTCGGGTGCATGGCTCTGGGCAGTGCGAAGAAAGCGCGGGTCTATGAGATCAGGTGTCATCCGGGGACAAGGGGGAAGGCTCTGCGGTTTTCGCGCATGGGTGGGGGCATAGGGCTTAGGTATCCCTCTAGGATCCCTAAGGACTGTATGCTTGGCCACCGGTTGAAACGGCTGCATGGAGTCAAGGATTGATGGACTGAAGGAATAAATCAAGGGAATTCTTGAAAGTATCTGGAGTTCATTCTCAGGGCAATGATCATTCATCTTCACTGGTGTTGAGTACTCAGTCAATTCGTACCAGGTCCCAATTAAAATACTGAGGGAAGGAATGCTTCGTGCCAGTGAGTGGGCCCGCCTTTTGCCTGAACCGCTTTGGTTCAGCTTTGCTGCTCTCCGAACCCCCTAAAGGATGCAGTAAATGGAACTTCCCAACAATCCCCTAGTGTCCACAATGTAGCAATAGAGCCCTTTTCGTGGGAGAGGGGTGTGCATTTTTGGGATCCTTGAGGTCAGGGTGCCAGTACTGCCAGCACTTACATGAACAATGTCCACCTTGCCTCATGCATGATTGCTTGCATCATGTTGGTTGCCACTTGCTACTCCTTTCTCGCCACGCAAAGCCTGCAGGCATCGACCTCATGAGTGTTACCTTGTGAGTGTTGATAATGTGCTGCTGATGATGCTTAACATAAGAGATGACCAATTGTGCAAGAAGTCCTGTCCGCAGAAAGAGGCTAGCGACTCCATTCTATCCCACGCGCTACCATGCATCTACCCTGGGAGCAGTCTGGAGAGATGATTCTAGACACATGGGCAGCTGTGAGTCTGGCAACAGCACCGACAAATACACGACAGTGCCAATGAATAGAATCGAAGTGATGGCAGCAAGACTATGGGAATGATGGAGAACTCTTTAATTTACCGCGCAACTGCTACACCATGATCCCCCTACATGAGCTATAGTCTAAACTCCTAGTATCCCCCTAATAACCCCTACAGCGGTCCCATATATATTCCCCCATATAACCCCCTTTAAGGAGTTTAGATTATAGCTCACATAGAAAAAGAAATCTCGAACAAGGGCCATCGGATGGCCTCCGCCCTGTTCGGCACCGGAACGAGGAGGCCATGGAACCCGGTGAGCCGCAGAGGATGCACCTCTTCTGGGTTGCTGTTCAGGAACTTGGTTATGTTTACCCATTATGGTAGTGACTTAAGTTAAGATCCTTAACAGCAACCCAGTCTTTGTTGTAAATTTCTCAGGCCCAGAGGAAGCTTAAAAAGCATGATAGATGGCTTAATTATACAAGGAGTTCAAGCTCCAACCTGTTGCTTACCAGAAACAGACAACAAAACGGGACAGAAGGCCATTTCACCAACAAAAAAAGGATGTGAATGTTTTGGGGTGTTCAACAAGGTGTTCGGAAGGCTCCATATACCCAATCACCATAGAATGCCTGTCTACTACTTTCCGGAAGCCTTCTCACTTTTTCCCGGCCGCAACTTACGGTCCCGTTGAAGAGGTCGCGCCTCGTCGATTGAAACGTGGGAAGCCCTGCTTCTGATGCAGGATTTTGCTTTCTACAGTACAGGCGCTTGGCTCTAGGGTTTCAAATCGCTTGCATCCTGATTGGTGAATGTGCCTTGCCACGATTGTTAGCACCGGTCTGCTAAAACTGCTGAAACTGTAGCGTAGCTGCATCGCCGTTGTTGTTAGCTGGTGCTGCAACTTCCGCTGCTGTGACTATGCTTGCTTTTTTGTTGCATGGCTGGCTTTTGCTCCGTACTGTCAGTGTAGCACGCATGTAATTTCACTGAAGTCATTCTATCTCTTACGGCGCCAGACGCCCAAATCGATGCTCTTAAAGCAGGTACGCGCAGGCTCTTTGCTGTGCGCCCCGTTCTTTTGCCAGTTGCAGCGCTCACTGCCTCACTGCCGCAAGTCTAAGATGTCGGAAACCTGATGTTGTGGCACCCCGTCACTGGATACACTCGTACGGGATTAACAGCTCAATGTGGAGGCAAAGGCTCAATCACGTCACACGAACTGGGATTCTAGGGGCCCAGCTCTTGAAGCAACTGACTTGACTGCTTCAGATTGGTACGCATGCGCCCCCTGCACTTGCAACCCTGCTTTTACGTGGCGGTGGATCTGCTTTGAGGGGCTAGCTCCCAAAGGCTTCCAGCACGAGACTCTTGGGACACCGTCTTAGTGGTCACCAGTGCATGTCCAAGCGGCTGCCACTGGGGCACGCGGTCTTCGCAGTGATAATAGTAAGTGTTTCCCTCCTGAGCATACGTGACATCCCAAGTGCATCTCGCTTGCTTTTGTATACCTAGACATCATATTCCAACAGCTCAGGGTGGCAGCTGCCCACTGTCCGATCCTAAATGTTCTGATTTAGAGAGTGCGGATGTCATGTTTGACTGGGGTTTCAACCAAGACTTCCCTGAAGCTAACTGTTCTGCAAGCTGTCGCAGCTGGTGGCACGAGCACGGTGCAACTGTAACAACTCACCTCAAGCAAAAACACGCTATGGCAAGCCAATCTGCTAGCACCGTGCTATCAGATGGCCATCCTTGTTACTAGCTCTGCGAATACGATTGATACAAAGACGCTTGCTATCGTCTCCGGCGTCGTTGTCACTGCTCTTGCTGAGAGACACCGCTTTACAAAGCAGCCGCGGCACACTATCTCGTGCGCTTTCCCAACCTGGAGGCAGACTCCTGCAAACATGCGAGGCTGCTTTGCGATGGAAAAGTGACGAATAAGCTGCTACTGCTGTTGCTGTTCACACCACTAACATAGAAAGCATCAGCAGAAGTGCTGTTATTACTAACTGTATTTCACAACAATGACAGTGTTACTTGCAGCAGCTTTAAAAAGAACCTGGGGGTCGAGGTGGAGGCGGCAGCAGAAACAGCTACAAGTATCAAAGTTGCAATGAAGATTCGTCAGATTCATGCTGGGCAGACATCGTACTTGGGCCATTCCATACTTGGTGGCTTTCAACATTATTGGTAGTCCTATTATCATTGCTAGTACTGTCATACAAATACTTGTGAAGCTTACCTTACCACCACCACCACCACCACCACCACCACCACCACCACCACCACCACCGCCCCCACCACCACCGCCACCCCCAACCACCCCCACCACCACCCCTACGACCACTGCTATTACTGTTTTTGCCTTGGTTCTCATACTGTTTAATAATATAGTAACTATTATACGAAGCGGAAGGTCTCTCTCCAAAATATATATTTACCATTATTATTACTGCTACTGCTGCTGCCTTTGCCTTGATTCTTGCTATCACTTTTAGGGTTATAGGATTTATGCAGACAACGTGTGGCCAAGTGGCGGCTCTGCTTCAAGCCATGTCCTAAGCCGCATTTGAAGGTCCCAGGGAGCCCAATGACCCTCAAGGCTTGGGCTTTAGGGGGTCTAGGGGTTTAGGGCTTAGGACCTGAAATCAGATCAGGGCCGCACTTGGGGCGGATTGGGCTGTCTAGGTTCATCCCCCCCCCTGAAGAGGAACCGGAACCCATCTAATGATAAAAGCTCCCGGTTATGTATATCAGATGTCATTTATATGAATATGAACTAGCAGGGTCTTGGGGAGGTGTGGTTGGCAGGAAGGATGGGTCCCCCCGCCCTAGTAGCGGCATAGTTGGAATATGGTAGGACCTGTTCTTGTCCTTTGTTACTATCCCACGCAAAAAGTGAAGGATCTTGGCGTACAACAATTGTGAGGAAATCGTTGTCCTTTTTCCGGAGCCCCAAAGTGTTGAAATTCTGGGGGGCACCTTCTTCGAACCATCATCACCGTGGTTTCATGATTGCCAAGTAGGTTCTCTAAGCACTTGACATTCGAGGCTTTTTGGGGCGAACGACTGTACCATCCAATCCTTTCTTAGGGCATATGATGGGTCCCCGACTTTTAGAAATATCCGGCTATTGCAGAAAGGCTCTGGAACAGGAGCAGGGAGTAGGTTTGAGAAGGGACAAGCAAATCAACCAATCTGCTAATCTCAGACGTGCTACTGCTATCGGTGCTTGCAGTGCTCCTCTGAACCCCCAACGAAGTAAGTGAACTAGAATCCGTCACTACTTGCTTCGATGTGCTGCGCTTTCATTGATCCTGCAACCATGTATGTAAGGATGATGGTCTTTGATATTCATGGTACAAAAGATAATGAAAAGAAGCAGCAAGTCACTACGCCCCTCTGCTCTCAGCCCATAGACCCTCCATATCCCGACATGCCACTAACATGGCACACCATTAACATGCCAGCAACATGGCAAACCATTAATCCCCTGTCCCTATGTTAAAACACCCCACCCCTAATGTTGAATATGCCCAAAAAACTATAACACACCACAAGGGTGAGTATTGAATATTAGGGGGGTGGGGGTGTTTGGAGGGGATTAAGCCGAGCTTAGTCCGAGTTACCGAGTCTGGCTGCCAGCGCCTCTGTCCGGGTCGTCAGGTGGCGGCCGATACTTGACTGAGAGCTTGTTCCTGAATACTCCCCAGACCCCCAATCGGATCTAAACATTAGCTCACTAGAATCATGTGCGGAATTGTCTTGGGAAGACATATGTATATATATATATATGCACCGGTTATTGGGGGGTTTATGCAGGGGGTCTAGTTGTTAGATCCTTCCAGGCGTCTGGGTCGGAAAACACAATGACTACTGCCACTACTTCTCATACGTCATTACTGCTGAGAATGCTGCTACTTACGAATGCTAAGAATGACTTCTGCGGCAATGACAGTACCAACACTAGCACAGCACTTACGACTGCTCATCCTGCCCTGTGAAATAGCACAAGTCTTGCTAGTTCCCATAAGTAAAACTGTGACAGTACTTGTTGTACTTGTGCTAGAATTGCTGCCTCTTAGTCTTATTTGGATTTTGCACGCGAGCGGATCTGATGCAGCCGCTGAGATGCATTGGCCATGTTAGAACTGAGGTTCAGCCAATGGGGAATTTATATATGATGAGCCACCATTTGGGGCGAGGTCATCATAACATGGCCAGCAGCAAGCCCACTTGGGTATCTAGCGCATGGTGACTGACAGCGTATAAATGCATGCAAACACATTCCGGCCTTGCTTGCTTCAATTGATACCTTCTCCAGCTAAGATTGTCTCTCTGGAAGGGCGGCTGCATTCAGCCAGCCTGATGCTGAGCTGAACCAAATCCTAGTTACCCCGATTAGTTCAATCGATAGTGCCCAGTGATGCAGCATCTCGCCCTGAATCTGTTTGCCCTTTTTGCGTTGCCCACGGGTCCGCTTCAGTGTTGTGCCAGGATCGCCAACCTCTCTGGCAGCCTCCAAAACTGCAAACAAGGCTGGCAATGAATCACTTGGGACCATTCGAATGTGTTCATTCGAGGATGCTGCACTGATCTTGGAGAATGTCAATGAGTGTCTCTACGACGTTGTACAAGCAAGGCACATGAGCTGGAGCCTCCTGCTCATCGCTCACCTTGTTGTCCTCCATTCTCCGCATGGGACAGGAATTCCCAAAAGTCATGAGTCTCTTTGGAACAGTGCACTCCGGTTCTTGCAATCGACAGATTGCCATCGCTAGCTGCCGGAGACAAGGAGACACAACATGATAGCGCCAAGCCCACCGGTCCTGCGGGTGGTACTGCAGACGTGCCATTGTGACATTCTCCACGTACCATGGATGGTCAGGAGGATAATTCCTAAGCTGCATCATCAACCAACCGCCCCCACGGTGAATTCTACATTAGTATGAGGTTGTACTGCGGAGACCCCAAAATTTCAGTTTATGTAAGGTCCCCTCACAGAACCACAAAGGAAAGAAATGGCTGTCGCCAGCCGCAGCCAAATAAACCCACTCCATGATCTGCCAAAGGTCTGGAGATTCCTGCGGTGCTCCTTCGAGCCTGCTGGCATCTCGTGCCTTGGCTATGACATGTCTCCTTCAATATGGGAGGTTTCCTAAAATCAGGTGTACCTTATTGGGGGTCTCCATAATGAGGATTATAGTATATTGGGATTATGAGGAATCTAAGGAGATGATGAGGGTCCCTGCTAGGGATTAAGGGATTATCTAGGGGATGTTCTGAAAAACCACCCAACACCTACGACTTAAGAGCCCTGCCCTGAAAACTACTGAGCTCTCAGGCTTCTGGTAGTTATGGGGACATGGGGAGGTCAAATGCTGGGTGCAGAGCATGCCAAAGCTATGTCTCTCTTTCCTTCGCACATAGGGAAGAAGTCCCTCTTGATGTCAGACAGTACTCTACTGGATTCATGCATTGCGTGGCTGAATCCACTTGCGCTCGCATCCAGTATGGAACTCGAGGCGTAACGATCAAGGTACGTACCAGTATGGGAGTCGTCATCCGTCACCCAGGTGCCATTCGGCCTGCCGCTCTTCCGGCACAACCTCGAAAATGTTTGAGTAGATTTGAATATCTTCTATTGCTAGGAGTTCTGCCAGAACTTGAGCAGGACCCAAAGGAATAACATCTCTTAATGACGGTCCAGCAACAGGCACATTTTGAATCTGTATCCATCTTCCTTAGCTTGCACTCACAAGACTGACAAGGCACAAGGCATCTCTGCGAAGCACTTGGCGTCCCAAACAAGGCCACTATTAGTGTGCACCGCAGGGTATAGTGTTTAGGGTCTACTATACGCAGGTCTCTACCTTGAAGGGATCTGATCAACCCTATCTGCGCCCCCAAGGCAGGGCCACTGGATTGATCCCAGCTGTACCTGGGTGACCTCTAAAAACATGTATCTATATGTCAAAGCCCTATATAAAGCGACATATGTATATATATATATGTACACATACAACTCCATCTACATAAACCCCCCTATACAACCCCCACGCAGAAGATTGTTGCAGGCGACATGAGGCACGTAGGCAAGGTAAGGCAGGTCTGGCGGCTTGTAGCCTCAACAGGGCGTTATATCAGGGGATATGGAGGGGTTTTCTAATGGATATATGGGCTTATCTATGGGATATCTGGAGTTATATAGGGGATATACAGCGCTATCGAAGGGGGATGCCAAGAATGGAGGATCAAACGGCACCTTGACTATCAGGAACCCAGTTGCTAAGGTCACTAAGCCAAGCGAGGTCAAGCTGGGCCCTAACTTCTAAATCCCAATCCCATCCTAAATTCTCAACATACATATTATACCTATAATCCCCACACGCTGAAGAGTAGACTTCAAGCTGAGCTTGCAGCCACACGTCTCGAGTTCCTGAGCCTGTAGGCAATCGGGATTTCTCAGAGCTGGGGTAGCCTTGGTGCCTTGTTCCCTTGAAAGGGGAACAGGGAGATACATATCTGGTTTGCGGCTTCAAAACGCGCTTCGCCCTGCCCGAACCCCTAGCAAAACAATGCTGGTCACTTAGCCAGTCAACTAACCCAAGGAACCTGGCCGCGTTCAGGGGTACAGACATTGTAAAACCTGTGCTGGTAGATGAGTTTTGGGTTGTGGCACTGTATGGCCAGGGGCATTGCAAGGCAACAGTCTGGCAAATGGGCTCGAGAGTACATCCGAAAGATGCAGTCTGAATGTGTGAGTGGGTACTATGGCATCCATGGAAGGATGAAGACTTGCACCCAACACCATGTGGGTTGTTCTCATAAATGATGGGCCCCTTTTGGCTACAGATTAACGTACGGCACCTTTTCCTTAGGGGTAGCCAAAATTGGAGCCTCATTTTGGGAACTACCCATCTCACGTCATAGCCTTCCGTCTTCTGCGATCCTAAGCAGTGCACAAAAAAGGTCCACCCACACGGTTTAGGGTTTAGGGTCTATGTTTTTGAGGGTTCTGCCCCTTACCATAGCCTGCGAACCCTAAACCTTAAACAGGCCAGGGGCCTCTCTATGTCACTATGTGTTACCTACATGAGCTATATCATCCCCATATCAAAATAGCGGTATCCCTATATATCTCCCACACTCACACACACAAAATAAACGCAAGTGAACAAAACCTGTCTTACCTGAACTCTACAGGGATTCTCACAAAATGATGGCAACCAATCAGCTCGGCCTCCTGCCAGCGCGCCAACCTGAACAAATGACAGGGGTTCTGAAAGGAGGGGGCATCTGCCTCACAAACAGCTATTCAGAGATCTCCAAGCATTGTAAGGCCTACCGAACTCTATATATATATATATGTATATATATATATGTGTGTGTGTGTGCGTGTGTTTGTATATATATATATGGAAATTTCCCTGGATAGGGGGACCCCAATACAGACCCAAAAATACTATAACCCTTATTATGGGGAACCCAAAAAAGGAATGTACCCCCAATTTGCGGAAACCCCATCCATATAGAAATACATATATTTATTTATATTTACATATATAAACGCCAATGTCCAATGCAATCTAGAATCTAGAGGTCTGTTTCAGGTACCCTTTACTGTCCTCCACCAAGGGCCCAGGCTGAAGGAGTTCAGGGAAACTACTAGAGTATGTTGAGGATTATATTGTTACACCTCAGTTTCCATTTCATTTTCCATTTCTACATGTTCTTTTGCATTTGATTCTCGAATATTGCAATGTCCCTATCCCCTCCCGACCTCACCTGCCCCTGCATTCTCCTTTCTGTGGAGGTTCTTCTGTGCGCGCGCGGGGTTAATAGCTCAGTTCACAGACTGAAGGCACAGACAAGCAGCACTAAAACTAGAATGAGCAAGCAGTAAAGCAGCCAACACTAAAAGTAGAGCTGATAATGGTCGCACTAATGTAGACGCTCTGCTTGGAGACTTTTTGAAGGGCTTCTCATCTTTTCCCCATCATCCACTGCCTACCCCACTTCTTGACCCCCACCTCCACGTTTTCTCTGTACTCAAGTCTTTCCTGTTGAATCTCTCCCAGGACCTGCCCTACTCAACAACCCTCTCTGCAGGTGCGCAATTCACCGATCCCTCTCTTACAAAAAAACATCTCTGCAAAGGCTCACAAGGTTTTTCTTCAGCCTTCTCGCCCCCTTCCCTAGGCCCCCCTCTGACCCTCCTTTTACTTCCTTCCTCCGCCGTCCCCCGACCGCCTCTTCTTTCCTTGAATCTCCTCCCTCCACAGCTATACAGATTGCTAGCGATTAGTTGGGAATGTGGGAAGATTGTCCCTATATAGTCCCAAAAGAATATCTTTCCACATTCCCTACTAAGCTCCAGGAAGGTGGCATGGTGCCAGTACTCCTAACTAGTTTCCATGTTCTTTCCACTATCCCTATATAATATCCCTACATAAACCCCTACATAACCCCTATGTAAAACCAATATGACATATGACCCCGATATAATCCCTACAGGTTAAGCTAGCTTCAGCCAGACCAAGGCGGCGCGTCTAATGCTTATAGTAGACAAGAAATCTGCCAAGTTTAGGGTTTTGGGGTTTCGGGCTTAGGGTATACAAGGAATCTGGGCCACGATATTGGTAAGTATCTAGGGAGTTCCCCAAATTCGGTGTGTCCTCAAAATACACAGGAAATGACATGTTGGGGTCATATTGGGGTATTGGGGTCCACATACTTAGGGAAACTACCATTAAGGCTCCTGTTATTCCTGGTGACCTAAAAACCTTTGGATGCTGCAGCCGCGCCTCGACTTGTGCTGCTCTGTGGTGACATGCCTTTGGCCCAAGCTGTGAAACTTTGTGAGCTTATGGGTTCTAGATGCTTCAAGGGTTCAAGGCCAAAATTACAGCTATTTTGGGGTATCCTTTGTAGGTGGAAAAGGCCGGCCCTCGTTGTTTAGTTCTTTACAGCGCCTGTCCAGCGGCCAACCTGAAAAGGAACACAACGTTGAGCACTCAAATCAAATTATGAAAGAATGAAGACAACGCTTCGAGCTGCGCCGGCACAGTGTACAGTTCAATCGGGACTGTAGGTCAACACACACAGTACAACCGATACAACTGGCACAATGTACAGTTCAACCTGGACTGTAGGTAAACACAAACAATACAAGCCAAAGATCTCCAGTCAATAGCTTAACGCCTCAGCTTCAAGGATGCACCTAGGGTGCTATACACTATGCCTAGTGGATACACTTTTCTCCGAGCCACAAGCCAAGGAGACACGACACTTCCAGCACTACTGGTACTAACTTCTGACAACGCAAGCCTGGAACAGCTCCGTGACCACCACACGTTGCCATAAACATTTCAACTAGCTCTGAATAGCTCTTTTGAACCCATGGTCAAATGGTGATCGGATGTACCCGGCATACTAAGATCCTTTGCATGCTGACCCGCAATAGGAGGGCGGAAACCAAAACCGGCGAGGCTGCATAAGTTCTAACTTATAACCCAGACCCGTGACTAATAAACCCTCTCCCTTAATAGGGGTTATAGAAGGGATCCTAATGTTAAGGCCCTTAATAGGAGGGCGTTTGTTAATACCCCAAAATAGTAGTTTGCCTTTTCTTTCCATTGTCCCTATATAGACCCTAAATTCCCCCTATATTACTATATTCCCCCTATATTATAAGCCCCATGGACTCCCCATGGGTCTCCATTGGCCGAGGTACTGCTGATCAATGATCTTGTTGCAAGGCAAGCATCGCCAAAAGCCATCAATCAGAACTTGCCAGTTCGGTGCCCGGCCTGCCTGGAAGAGCATTCAATATTCACATGACAAACTGACAAATAACTAAAGACCACAGATAGCTACGCCATGACGGCTCGAATACACAGCCAGCATAACGTTCCTGGACACCCTCAGTTTGCTTGAGAACTTCCTAGACGCCAGCAATTCTAACCTTTTCTAACGTCTGAATTGTTGGGCTGCCAGGGGGCTTACAGAGACCAATTTAGACCCTGGGGCTGCTCACGAAGAACCACTTCCTTAAGACCGTGCAAGGGTCTTGTTTCGGCTTCAGAGTTGAGCCCTGAGCCTGTGATGGGACTCAAAGCTACAGCTTATGGGCCCTTTATGGGTTGTAGGGTTGAAGTTGAGGTGGCACAAAAGGTCCAAGGCTAGCGTACGGGGCTCCACATAAGATATTCAAAGTCACGCGCATAGCTTCCTAGCTTACAATTTACGACTGATGGTGTAAAACTCAGGACCAAAAAGCGCAAACGCATCACCAGAACGCTTGCTACACAAACGGTTGGGGCTGAGCTTTAGGGTTCTACCCAAGCTACGGAGAGTCTGTTGGGCCAGGGAGGTCCACCATTTCGTCCAGTCTGGCCATCTCGTTTAAATAACGACCTTGAAAGGTTGCTTGCTTGGAGTCTTAAATCCTACGTAAGATACAGGCTTGAAGATCTTGGCGCGCACACATCCCAGACTCAGCACGGGGAACGTCGCGCGCAAGGTGAGTCAAAAGTCTGGATCTGTGGGCCGCGCATATTTTTTCTGCGCGAAAGCTTTGAGCCAGGAGCGAGGATGGCCGAGCAGGAATGCGGATGGTTTCAATGGGAGACGTCGCGCGCAAGGCCCCCGCACCGCAGGGCCGAGGAGCCAGACACGTCACTGATTATGAGGCCCGAGTCCGGGTCAGCGCAGGCACTCAACAGGACCTCCATCCCCCCAACAGAGCCATTGTGCGTCTAGGGCTCTGTCCTCCTCTAGCAGCCGGCTTTCGTACATTATCCTTTGCCGGAATCGCGTCGGCAACCCCAGCTGATGCAAATACTTCTTGAGGTCTGTGATGGTGCCGGCATCTTCCCGCACGCGCGTCAGCCACCTTATCCCCAGAAACCATCCACACGCGTATGCACTTGTCCTGCAAAGCCGAATTGGCCGTCTTGCAGCTGCACATTGCTTCAAAGTCAGCACGTGCCCTGTCCAGGTGAGAGGCCAGCTGGCTCGGCTCCTTTGCGGATATGTTTGGGAACGGCCCTGAGCAGCTGTGTTCCACAGCTTTGCAGATTTGCAGCTTCCTAATTTCCCAAATGCACGGAAATGCGGCAGCTCCTTGATCCTGACGTCCAAAAGAGACGGGGCATGCTGAACAAACGTTGCTGCGATGACATCACATAACTGTGTCAAGCCTAAATTGTCGCGCACATGGGTATACGCAAAGCACTAAACATATGCAAACCACGCACCTCAGGCCTCACAGGCATCACATTGATATCACCCAACAGCATTCACTTCAAGACCCGTGTTGGGACCTCTCATGTATTTTCTCTTTGGGTCTGTTCTGGCTTCCTGGCAAGGCCCTGCTCGCATTTCAAGGATCCGCAGTATTACCACATCGGAAACTCGACCCAACCCCACTTCGCCCTTCAGCCTCGGGTGGAACAAATTCGTCTGGCACCGGGGCACTCAGGATCTCCTGCGCACAACAGCTTGGGGATCTGGACTCGCATGGGGGTGTCTCTGAGTTCTGGCTCCGATTTTGCGTCCTCATAGCAAGGATGCATCTACGTCTATCGGTGTAAGGTGTGCAAACAGAGGAGCTGTGTCAAGATTGCTTAGGGGATAAGTTGATGCAGCTGAGGATGTGGTGGGTTCATTTCGTGCGGGAACTGCAGAGCCGCAGGCACAACGGAATTCAAAAGTCAGTAGGCTCCAAGGGGGATAAAGACTTGACACTGTTCAGCAGCAGTTTCCAATTGCCCCCAACTAGACCTCAAATCATGAGTCCTGCCGAGTCAAAGATAAGGCGCATGCCAACAAGGTTTCTAATAAGCACAATGGGCTATGGGCCATAAGACTTCCTAGAAAGCCGCCCTCTTCTGGCTGAGCCAGACAAAAAAAGCAGCATTGATTGTCGCTGCATGGCATGCGTTGCATGCGTCCAACCCACTCCTCAGGCACTGTGTCGACACTGAAAGTCCGCAGCTTGTTGGCACCCTTTCCAGCTGGTGATGACACCTCGCAACCAGCATGACTTGGATCTCAAATAGCTCCAATCAGGACCCCAGTCATTCGTTTCTACTTGACCTAGCTTGTTGTCGACGTGGGGCCGAATCCAGCGCGTTGCCGTTGTGCAACACGCGCAGCTTGTTTGCAGCTTTCCTGAGTGAAAACTGCAGCTCTATGTTCCAGGAGCCTTGTGGATTTCGAGGTGCCCTAGCACCAATACGAACAGGCCATGGAGAAACATGACCTAAATAGCAGAGTGGTACCAGCCAGTCACATCCATTAACATACCATCCAAGCAAATCCAATCCAGGCTCATTGAATGGGAACGTGGCAGTGATCAAACCCATCATCCCAGAATGGTGAACTGGAGTCCCCAAGCTTCTTGGTATGGGAGGGAGCTTTTGGGCTCTCCCTGAACCCACCTGGTGACCATGGCAGTCCTGTTAAGGGTCGCTAGGTGGGATCCTTAACCCCATTACGTCATATGTCCCGGATGTAGTGCTATATGTTCTCAAATACTGCCTGTATTATATACCTAGGTGTTCCCCCACAGTCTACCAGAGTCCCACTTGAGGGTCCCTCCCAAGACTCCAACCCTCAATGAATCATAGTCTAAACTCCTTTAGGGGGGTTATACAGGTGATTATATGGGGGACTACTATAGGGGTTATTAAGGGGGATACCAGGAGTTTAGACTATAGCTCAAATGAGGGCGCAAACTACCAGTGCTCTCCTGGCGTCGATCGACCAAATGCTTGGCAGGGCTCCTTCTGTGCAGAGGGCCCACATGAAGATGTCTACGCGCATTGGCAAAGGCTTAGAAGAAGATTCTTGGGCTCGTCATACTATTGTTCACCTATATATGGAAGTTCTTCAGTCGGCCCCAGATACAAAACTCTGCATGACAAGGATCGGTAGCCAGCTGATACCCGAAGTACTCTAAATGACGGGCCATCAAACTGGCCAAGACTAATCCCAACCCCTGGCAGAGCTCCGTCCTCCAAGCTTCCCTCTTCATTGCAGGGAGGGTTATCTATGGTCCTCAGCGGGTGATGGGTGAACGCCAGGAAAGCAGTAACACCAAACGAGCACGCATCACCCAAGATCCAGGATATGGCACAAGCGACACATTATCAAAGCTGCTCATGGAACGCACTGCATTCTTCGCCAAGCACGCTCTAAGTCAACGAACTGAAGAACATCTACACCCACATCTCTTGGTTGAAGCGTTCTTGGGTTTGTCAGCAGGCAAGACCAAGCGTCGTGGAGCCCTTCAGTTTGTTCGCTCCCTTCTTTGACATGACTCAGCAAGGCAACAGAGCCCATCGAGCATGGCGAGTACTGTAGGGGCCTAAATGATTGGAAGAGGTAAGGCTTAGTGTAGTCTAATGGAATTGAACGCAGGTCACGACATGACATTGTTGCATGGCTTTTAAGTTTTCATTTGCATCACGGCACACTCCACACAAGGCATCTTTCCCTGAAGACGGCCAAAGTGAGAAACGATGAGAGCTCCAGACTACGCCGAGAATCAGGGAGAATCCAAAGGAAAAGGAAATGGAAAATCAAAATGGAATGGCAGATTATCAACAGGGATTCTACACAGCCTAAAAAGCTATAAACAGGAGGCATGTTGCTCACCGGGCTTTTTCAGAAAATATGGAAACTACCATAGCTGTAGCTCGGACCGGACATCTACAGCTTGGGCCGAAATGTAACGCTTCGGTCTCCTTGGGGACTTGAAAAAAGTATGGGCATCCCATTACAGTATCCCCAAATAGTTAGCGTACCCCCAGAAGGGACCATAATTTCAACAACCTCCGCTTAATGCCTCTTCAACACCAGATTTGGGTCAACAAGGCATTGTATGTTCTGCCTGCCTCTCAACCATCATTGTTTGGTTTAAGAGCATTAAGACTGCTGGATACCTAGCACATGGTCTGCCAAAGACACCTGCACCTCCTATCATGTGACCTCTTCACTATGAAATTCTTCTTGCCATCACAGTACGTGAGATATCACCACGAGTATCGCTGCTAGCTGTGTTTAGAGGAGTCGGCCTTCCGAGCAACAGTTGAAGGAGGATTCTTGTGCCACGTACGACCCCCCAAAAAAAGGCAATTCCCCAGACGTAGGATTTCGTTTGATGGTGCAGTTACCACCTTTGCAAGGGCAGAATTCTGACTCAAAAAGCCTTGTTGCCAACCTTTTCCAAACCTCTGGTTTCCTCAAGTACCGGGCTGTTTTTAAAAGGGCCCCTCTTAGCAGTGTCCTGAGACGGAAGCCCCAATTTAATGACTACAAGGCAGTCACAACTCTTGACCGTTGAGAGTGACGATGTCCCACTTCTACGACCGTTTTCGCAAAGTCTGACCCAAAGTCTCCGAAAATCTGGGATTTTGTTGGGGATTCTTTTTGCCGAAATCACCCTCGATTTCAGGGCTACCTCTCGAGGCATCTGATTTGGGAATCGTAGTAAACCCCATTTCCCGAGCCTCCGAGTCAGAAGGGAACCTTGGCTCCTTGGTATGTCCAAGAAAAGCCCTGAAATTAGGGGCACCTTTTAAAGGGATTATAGGGGGCTGTATAGGGCTTATATGGGGCTCTAAAGGGATGATTTAGGGGTATATAGGGTTGTATACGGATATATGGGGTTTAGGGTTTCCAAAAATCAGGCGCCCCTCTTTAGCAATCCCCAAAATGCGGTTTCTAGCATATTGGGGTCTACATTGGGGTCCCCCTATTTAAGGAAACCACGAACACTGGTTTGAATGCGGACTGCTGGAACTTGTAGCACACTCAAGGCGACGTCCAATTGTTCTTAATATGATAAGGATGCTATCATGACTATATATGATAACCCTGCAAATCCCAGACATGAGCCGCGGTAATTTTAACCGCAATTGCCCAGCTGGTTTGACTTGCCTGCAGCTAATTGAGACAGGTCACTTTAACGAGTGGCTTCTTGCGAAGGAAGACATCGATGCAAAGTGCATCCCAGAAACAGATTCTCGCTATCTGCTGTCCTTGGCGAACGGCAAAAAAAAAGTCCTGCAACCACTAGCTTCCATTCCCCAACTTTAGCGGTACCTTCCATTCCCCAATTTATTGGAAGCTATGCCCTGCGGCACCGTCATGCTCCAGCTCTGTTGATATGTAGAATTTCTATGAAAGCCACACTTCAGGAGTGCAGGGGCACGTAAGACAAGAACCTAATGTCAGATACATTCCAGTCCGCCGAAGGATTCTTCACCCTCGCAGCACCGCTGCTACCCTCACATCTTCTTCTTCCTACTTGCTACTGCCCCTAAGCCCTAAAGCCCAGTCTTAAACCCTGAGCCCTTTTTTGAACGAGGGCTCTCTGACGTGCCTCCAGCCTGCAGCCCCCACAACCCTAAACCCTGAATCCTAAACCCTAAGCCCAACTGTATAAACCCTACATCTACATAAACCCTATACTCTACATAAACCCTACACCCCGTATAAGCCCTAAACCCTACACACGGCCTTATGGTACTGCCCCACTCATAACAGTTGGCAAGTAAGTACAATTGAACTATGTTCTATTCGTAGCCCTTGATGTTGCCCCTATTGTAGTAGACTGTTACTGGGTGGGGGCCATACCCAGCCTAAACCCTAAACCCCAATGCCTAAACCTATAAACCCTAAACCCTGGACAGACTTGCCACCAGGCCTCCCTCCCAGTCTCCAGCACCAACCTCAAAGTTGCCAGGATGTGGGCCTTGTTGCTGAAACCATCTGGAGTTTAGGGCTTAGGCTTTGAAGTTTAGGGTTTAGGGTTTGAAGTTTAGAGTATAGGGTGAGTTTGGGGTTTAGGGTGTTGGGTCTTGGGTTCATTAAGGTTTAGGGATTTATGGGGCTGTGGCGATCCATTGGGAGTATAGGCATATAAGGATTACAGGGGGTTGTGGAAGTTGGGGGCTCTGTTTTGGGAGTCCCTTTTAAGAGGATCATAACAAATTAGGGTCTATATGAGGGCTCCCGATTTATGGAAACTTTGTTATGGAAACTGTCATCTAAATCCTTCTTCAAATTCAATATGTCTGTTTATTCCTCTTTGCCTGGAAGGGGTGTCAGAAACAACCGACCGCGATGCCTGAACGATACCAACCCCTGAATACTAATCTGACACCCTGTGGCTCTGTCATGGTTGACTGGAGGCTGCTACTGAGGTGCGGGCACCTCAGAAAACCCGCACTGTTTTGGATCTCACCCCAGCGCATGTAGACGCTGGCATAACAAGCATCATGTGCTTGATCTTGCTCGAAACGCGGCTTCCCTCATTGGAACTTAGCCATCAACAGCTGACACCGTGCATAATAGCAAGGTTCCTCGAATAGTTCAGAAAGCACAAAGACTCTAACTCTAAATGACAAACGCCCACCTTCAACGATGACTGTGATATGCACTCCATGCGCTATTGTAGTTCTCTGTTCTCGTGGCTACTACCATGCTAGGCATCAACAAGATTGGTATCAGTATTCTTGGCATCGTTGATGCCCAAGGCACTGCGAGAGAAGGCTGCCTGTAATCTTCCAGCATCTTCCTGCACAGGACTGCCGACCTTGTACCTTGCTTCAAAAAAACAGGGGCACCCTACATACAAGAAACGCCCAAAGTCCTCATAGCACTTGATGTCGACATCATCGTCATGAGGGATGAAACCGCCTTAGTCAGCTGCTACAAAATCTCAAATAGTTCACAGTTCCCTTTGCAAGCGAGCCCAACGTCAGAAGTGCTGCGTCTCCTGGCAACTGCAAGTCTGGCGAGAAAATCTGAAATGATTCTCTTCCCATGACAAGGCCCCCCCCCACTTCTGAGTTTTCTCACGAGACCCTACATGTTTGGCGGAACTGCCGTCTTTTTATGCTTTTACACTGGCCAGGGTACGCGACTCTACTTGGAAGCCCAACACCCCGACTTGCACATCCTTCACCTTGAACTTTGCATAACTTTGAACGAGGGCGGATCACAGCTCACAAACCTCAAGTTCAAAACACGCCCAGGTCACCGTGTCGAAGTGCACCGATGAGGGTGCCTCCAGTGATCCAGTATGGGATGCTGGCCTCGTGCGACATAGCAAATTGCAGCTCTTTGAAGGCAGGACGCCCACAACGCACTGTTAGTCTAAGTCTAAGCAACTCTGTCTGAGCAATTCTGCAACACTCCGAATTCCCCAAACCGCAGATACTGCAAAGCAAAGTCTCAAAGGTGCTTAAATGTGACGCATCATGTCCTTATCAAGCACGTCATAGAAACGCAACGAAACAAGCAACGGAGGCCAGCACCTCTGACAAGACTTCGTCTACGAGCTGCAGAAGACCTCCCAGGCGCGCCACGCAATCTCACAATCATAGGTCCATGTTGCCGGGGTTAGTATGTGGGGTGGATTGCATCAGATCAAGAAGAATAACATTGAGAAACATTCATGTCAATTTCTGATTGAAGAGTTGGTGTGGGGAGGAAAGGGCGCAATGCTGCTCGACTGGGTTACCGCTCAAAGCGCTCTGAGGACGAAATGCATGAGGAGAAGAACAATGCTACTGCAAATCAACTCTCCATGTGATAGGGCCCCTGATAATTACTTCAAAACCCACGACGGGACCCATTCTCTCCACAACCCTGTCGGACCCAGCAGGAGCTGGTGATGAGCTGCGCTGGGCAAACGTCGGGACAGCAGCGCCGCGAAGCTTTTGGACTCCAGAGCCTCCTGCCGTAGGTGTTCTTGGGGTCTTCTACAGGTAGTGTTCCACGGGGACTTGGGAGTCCTGCAAGGCTTCGGCAAAGTTCAGAAAGCGGAGTTCTTCAAATTGCGGGTGCCTTGGGAGTCCCTAAAAAGAGGACTAGGACTGTCGTGAATCTACTTGAATATGCGCCTTCAAACAGAAGTGGTCCATGTTGGCTCTAGACCCAGCACCTTGTCGCAAGGAGCATTGCACGCCAGTGGGTCGCAGCCCATGGCGCCACGAAAGCTGGACAGTCTTTGGTCGCTTATCGCGCATTCGCGGACTCTATCAGTCTTCTTGCAGAGGCTGGGTTTGATCTAAAGCGGTATTGATGTGAAGTTGCCGCAGTTAAAGGCTGAGTTCGAGGAAATTAGGCAGAATGCATGAGTTCAAAGCTGGGGTGAAGAACATGCTGCATTGACATGGCTGACTGTGAGCCACAGACTCTGCAGCATTGTCCATCGCCGTTCTCCCGTCTAGATATGTCTAGATGCTTTCCCTACTGCCCATTGCCAGAGAAACATGTCCTTTCGATAGGCCTCTTTGCACAAAAG